ACTACAACAGACGAGACACAAAATCTGCTTAAAGTCATATCTGATAAAGTAAAAGAAACAAGGAGCAATGACTACATTGGGTTGGAAAAGAAAGATCTAGAAGAAGCTGAGTGGGGTGTTAACCTTGGTCAAGCAAGCAATGAAGGATCAGATAGTGAAAGCAGAATGCAAGTCTTAAAGAGCAAAGAAAATGTAGCAGGGGAAACAACTAGCCAGGAAGAAAGACAACTTGACTTATTTAGTGCTCATGTCAATACAGAAACCAACACTCAGATTCAGCCTGATTTAGAGAATGTACACACAAACACAGAAGCAACTATCCATTCCCTTGAAGATGTTATGTACTATGACCACCCAACTCTCCCTAATCGAATTCAAAGTGGTACTGAAGGTCACAGTGATCTAAGAATAGGACCTGAAGACCAGCCTGGGGTTAAAGACAGCCTGGAGTCTTTGACTGGAGCCATACAAGAGGTGGAGGCTTCAGACACTGCCTTAGCTGCAGCAATGCCAGCCTCACTAGACAACACCATAGCTGCAGCCAAAGAGAGCATAGCTGCAGCCATTCACGAACAAAGTGGAACTCTGTTGCTTGGATCTCTACATGTCAACAAAGAGAGTCCTGCAATAGACAACTGTTACAAGGATTTAACAGAAGAAATGGCTGAACACATAGACAATTCAGAGGACAATTTAGCTGCTTCAAGCCTTAAAGCAAACACAACAATCAGACCACTGTCACTGGTCTCCTTAACTTCAAGCAATGGAGATTCAGGTGTCCAAACTTTGGGAGCAGAGGTACCTCAACAGCTGAGGGATGGTGGTTTACAAAGAGTCATTGAAGGCAAAGTGGACATTACACAAACAGACGTACACAATTCTGAGGGTGTTTCACAATCCAGCCTCTGGACATCAAGAATTGACACTCTGTCAGATTCAGGTCTACAAACATCAAGAATGGACACTTTGTCAAACTCTGATCTAAAAACATCAAGAATTGACACCCTTTCAGACTCAGGTCTGCAAACATCAAGAATTGACACCCTTTCAGACTCAGGTCTGCAAACATCAAGAATTGACACTTTGTCACACTCAGGCCTACTAACATCAAGAATTGACATGCTTTCAGACTCAGGTCTACAAACATCAAGAATTGACACTCTGTCAGACTCTGGTCTACAAACATCAAGAATTGACACTGTATCAGACTCAGGCCTGCAAACATCAAGAATTGACACTCTGTCAGACTCAGGTCTACTAACATCAAGAATTGACACACTTCTAACTGATGACATTGAACAAGGAACCATCAGTAAACAACCAGTCACAACACATGTTTCAGACACGTTTGCTTTAACTGATTCAGACAAGGAACATAAATTACAATCATTTGCTATTCCAAACACTGCAGACCTCTCTAGTGCACTCAGCATTGATGTATCTGGCCTCAGTGCTCACAAACAGACTGAAGTTGTAGGCACAGCAGCAGGTGGCTCCAGTGTGACATACGCCGACGACACACCAACCACAGCTGAGAGATGGGTGAAAGAAAATGGCAGCGACTCATCAGAAGAGGAAACTGTTATCACCGACATCATCCCACTACCCCAACAAGAACACCAGGGAGAGATGATGTCGACCGGCAGTCCCAGGGCTAGGCTGTCTTCAGCAGAGAGGGACTCAAGGACTCCGCCATATTTTTTTGTGTTCCCTCAGCAGGCCAGGGGCTATGCTGGCGTATCAGAGAGGTCACCGACCTACAGCCAGAGGTCACCTACATACAGCCAGAGGTCACCTACATACAGCCAGAGGTCACCTACCTACAGCCAGAGGTCAAGGTCAGACAAATCCCCTTTGTACAGCCCGCTGCCAAGGTCAGATGTATCCCCCGCTTACAGTCATGGGTCAAGGTCGGAGTGGTCCCCTTTATACAGCCCACTGTCAAGGTCGGATGTATCCCACGGCAACAGCCAGGTGACAAGGAGCACGTCCAGCTTGCATGAAGAGATGTTGCACTCACCCAGACAGCAGGGGCTTGTCTTCAGCTACGAGCACCTACCTGGGAGGGCTGGACACAGAGAGGTGGAGGCTGACCCATCAGCTGACCCGGCTAAACCCAGGGAGATGACAAGTACACTGGGTAGTGAGTCCTTACAGAACATGGGCATGGTGGGCAGTCTTCAAGGTCAGTCAGGAGCTGACCAGAATGTTCGAGACCTTCAGAATGTTCCAGACCTTCAGAATGTTCCAGAAACAGACTTAGAGGAGGTAACCTCGATGACTGATTTTCTTACCTACACACCAAAGCCTACAAAGTCCACCCAAGAAGCAGAGATGGGCAGAGACCAACAAGGGTTCAGTTCCTCCAAGAGCGACGCAGGTAAAACAATCGCCTTGAAAGAAAATCAGCAGCCATCTATCATAGAGAAAACTGAAGTAGAGTCTGATGAGGAAATCACCACCACAGATAACATGCCCATACACCCTCAGCACACTCTAAACAAAAAGTCTACAGCTCTATCTGGCCAACCAGCTCAGTCAGGTGGTTCAGCGCTAATCACATCTGATTCTACAGAATTCTATAGTCAAAGAGACAAGAAAGCTACTCAGTGGATGAATGAAGATCCTAATCTCTACGAAAACCAAAAAGTTGGAGTGGTTCCTGAAAAAGAAATGAAACAAACCGACAGTGAGAAAAGACAATTAAATGATGAACTTATGAGATCAGACAAAGAAGACAAAGCAAGAACGTCTGATTCTGATGAAGAGTTGTTGGTTATTGACAGCATGTACTCGCTTGCCCCTGCTGATCTACAAGAGAGTGTAGGTCAAGACTCAGCTGGACAAACTGTGGGTGTGGTCAGCCAGGGTGGAGAGAAGAAGTTAGGAACTGACAGTAAGCCGAATGTCAACCTGTTCAAGGCTGGAGGTGTCGGCTCAACAGTTTACACTGAAGGAGCTGCTGCAGCATGTGAAGTTCACCAGTCAGGCATGGCAGGTGGAGGTGTCTCGTTGTTAGAGAAGGGACAGGTTGACAGTGAGGCTGTCAGAGCAACCAGTGACAAGGAACAAGTTGAAAGAGCAACCAGCGAGAAGGTTGACAGAGCACCCAGTGAGGAGGGGCAGGTTGACAGAGCAGCCAGTGAGGCTGATGCTGAGATAAGTGTTACAGACAACTTCCCACTTGGTGAGTACATGCTGGAGAAACTACAGAAGGTGCCAAGACATGGATCTGCTGCACCAGCAGACATTGGCCAATCACAGAAAGTAACTTTAGATGCAACAAATGCAGACATTGGCCAACCACAGACAACTTTACTTGCAACAAATGCAGACATTGGCCAACCACAGACAACTTTACTTGCAACAAATGCAGACATTGGCCAATCAGAGACAACTTTAGCTGCAATAAATGCAGACATTGGCCAACCACAGACAACTTTACTTGCAACAAGTGCAGACATTGGTCAACCACAGACAACTTTACTTGCAACAAATGCAGACATTGGCCAATCAAAGACAACTTTACTTGCAACAAATGCAGACATTGGCCAATCACAGACAACTTTACTTGCAACAAATGCAGACATTGGCCAACCACAGACAACTTTACTTGCAACAAGTGCAGACATTGGTCAACCACAGACAACTTTACTTGCAACAAATGCAGACATTGGCCAATCACATACAACTTTACTTACAACAAATGCAGACATTGGTCAAACTCAGACTTTAATTGCAACAAATGCAGACATTGGCCAACCACAGAAAGTAACTTTAGCTGCAACAAATGCAGACATTGGTCAACCACAGACAACTTTACTTGCAACAAATGCAGACATTGGCCAATCACAGACATCAACTTTACTTGCAACAAGTGCAGACATTGGCCAACCATTTACATCAACCTATCTACCAACTACAAACATCAGCAATGAGAACATCAATGTGACTACAACACTTCCACAACATGGACCAGGCCATGTAACAGATGTGGCTACAGGAGTCATAGAGCAACAAGATAGAAAGATGCTGGACATTGATTCAGATGAAGAAATAAACACCACTGACACTATTCTGATTGCTGTCACAAAATCTGTCACTGGTGACAATGTTAATAACACATTTACTGATGATATGAGCAACATCACAACTGTAGACATGGCCAAGAAGACAACAACTGATGACATGAGCAACATCACAACTATAGACATGGCCAAGAAGACAACAACTGATGACATGAGCAACATCACAACTGTAGACATGGCCAAGAAGACAAGAGCTGATGACATGGCCAAGCAGACAACAACTGATGACATGAGCAACATCATAACTGCAGACATTGCCAATAACACAACTACTGATGACGTAGCCAAAAACAGAACAAATGTTGACAAAAACACATACGGAGACATGGCTAAAACAGCAGTTGATGACTTGACTACTAATATAACCCTAAACATGAATAAAGACTTGGCCAAAGATACAACCACCGATGACATGACCAAGAACACAACCACTAATGACATGGCCAAGGACACAACCACTAATGACATGGCCAAGGACACAACCACTAATGACATGGCCAAGGACACAACCACTAATGACATGGCCAAGGACACAACCACTAATGACATGGCCAAGGACACAACCACTAATAACATGGCCAAGGACACAACCACTAATGACATGGCCAAGGACACAACCACTAATGACATGGCCAAGGACACAACCACTAATGACATGGCCAAGGACACAACCACTAATGACATGGCCAAGGACACAACCACTAATGACATGGCCAAGGACGCAACCGATGACATGTCCAAAGCCACATTCACTGATGACATGGCCAAGGACAGAACCACTAATGACATGGCCAAGAATACTACTAATGACATGGCCAAGGCCACATTCACTAATGACATGGCCAAGGACACAACCACTGATGACATGGCCAAGGACACAACCACTAATGACATGGCCAAGGACACAACCACTAATGACATGGCCAAGGACACAACCACTAATGACATGGCCAAGGACACAACCACTAATGACATGGCCAAGGACACAACCACTAATGACATGGCCAAGGACGCAACCGATGACATGTCCAAAGCCACATTCACTGATGACATGGCCAAGGACAGAACCACTAATGACATGGCCAAGAATACTACTAATGACATGGCCAAGGCCACATTCACTAATGACATGGCCAAGGACACAACCACTGATGACATGGCCAAGGGCAAAACCACTAATGACATGGCCAACAACATAATTTCTAATGACATGGCCAAGGCCACATTCAGTGATGACATGGCCAAGAAAACATTTAATGACATGGCCAAGAACACAACCACTGATCAGATGGCCATTGACATGGCCAACACCACAGCTAGTGACACCATCAGAAAGTCACCCAGTCTCAACACTCTTGAAGTACCCGTAGACTCCAGGAGGTCCTCTGGTTCAGAGAATGAACTGACCATCACTGACTACTTCACATTCTACGAACTGTCCCAACAGCCAACTGATGAAGGAGGCTGGCCACATACAGGTGAATCACATGACCACAGTGGACAGGCTGCAGGTCATCAAGGCTCACAGATAGGTGATACTAGGGCCACAGTGTCCGACAGTAGCAAGTCACTGTACATGGCAGCCAGCCCCATCGTAGCACAATCAGGGCAAATAAACGTGGATAATACTGAATCAGTAGCCACTGGTCAGTCTTTAGCTGAAGCAGATCAGAAGCAACTTGACACAATCACAACTGAATCAGTAGCCACTGGTCAGTCTTTAGCTGAAGCAGATCAGAAGCAACTTGACACAATCACAACTGAAACAGTAGCCACTGGTCAGTCTTTAGCTGAAGCAGATCAGAAGAAACTTGACACAATCACAACTGAATCAGTAGCCACTGGTCAGTCTTTAGCTGAAGCAGATCAGAAGCAACTTGACACAATCACAACTGAAACAGTCGCCACTGGTCAGTCTTTAGCTGAAGCAGATCAGAAGAAACTTGACACAATCACAACTGAAACAGTAGCCACTGGTCAGTCTTTAGCTGAAGCAGATCAGAAGAAACTTGACACAATCACAACTGAAACAGTAGCCACTGGTCAGTCTTTAGCTGAAGCAGATCAGAAGAAACTTGACACAATCACAACTGAAACAGTAGCCACTGGTCAGTCTTTAGCTGAAGCAGATCAGAAGAAACTTGACACAATCACAACTAAAACAGTAGCCACTGGTCAGTCTTTAGCTGAAGCAGATCAGAAGAAACTTGACACAATCACAACTGAAACAGTCGCCACTGGTCAGTCTTTAGCTGAAGCAGATCAGAAGAAACTTGACACAATCACAACTGAAACAACCACTGGTCAGTCTTTAGCTGCAGCTAATACTAAAGAACATGACCCACAAACAGTTCCACTGCAAGCTTCCATTTCCACGACAGACTCCTCATTGCTCATAGTTGAGTCTTCCACTGAAGAAAACATTCAAGTTATTCCAGCCTTGAGTGTAGAGGGCAGCACCACTACCAGCACATCAGATCATCCAGTGCTACTAGATACAGTCACCCAGTCACATCATGTGACATCTAGTGCTCACGTACACCAGGACCAAACTCTGACTGCACACGTACAGCAGGTGAATGATACGTTTGAAGAGGGAGAACAAGCACTTAAACTTGAGGAAAGATTTAGTGAGGGCAGTCAAGACATTGTAGAATCAAAAACTTCTTCTCTTCTTGTAGAACAGCAGGAAATGGATGTGACACAAAGTCAAATCAGCAGAGTCTCAGAGAGATGTCACGATGACGGTGTTGAAAGAGCAGTACAGTCCCTAGAGGAGAAAGGAGAATCAAGTAGTGAAGCTAATGATCACTTGCACACTAAAGATGAAAATAACAAGAAATTACTGACTGATGATAATGGAACATGGAGTGAAACAAATAAACAGCATGCTAAGACTGAAGGCTCGCCTTCATGTGAAGCTAGGGATGGATCTTCAGTTGACGTATCCATGGTAACTGAGACTGTGCCATTTTTACCAATCAGTGACATAGTAGACCAGGTAAACAAAGCCACACCACCAACTCCACATGGACTAACAGAATTAGATGAAAGTGGTTTGTCTAGTGGTTCACAGTATGCTGGTGGTAGAGACCAGAGTGGGGTGTTGGAGGGTATGAGGGGAGACAATGAGGAAACTGGTGTCACTGCATCAGATGGCACTGGTGTCTCACCACATGACACAACTGAGACTGGTGAACTGTTGACACAATCACAGCTGTCTGGTACAAGACATTTACAGAACTCCAGTGCAGGGAGTGGTCCCATAGGCTCACATGCAGCAGCTGAGGATGACAACACACTTTGTCACAATGCTGATGAACAAGGTCTTTTTGACCTCAGACAGAGAGAGCTGAATACTGAAGACAAGCAAGGCGAACATCCCACACAAACAGCACTGGTGGAGACTCAAGGCCAACCAAGTTTACAACACAAGCCAGCAGGCGGTGAAGGGGTCATGACTGATGAGTTCAGTTCCAACCAAGAATACCAGTCTGTGACTGAGAGGTCAGGAACTAGTGGTGAGAGTTACCATGGTAATGAAATATCAACCAGAGATGGGACATCAGGAGGTGATTTAGCACCGTTGGTCACTAGTCCTAGGATGGAGAAATCTTCAGTGGAGAAGGTCACAGATAGAAGTTTGTTGTGCAGCACAACTTCTGGGGAACATGAATTAACTGAAACCGTGTCAGTAATGCCTTGTGACCCACTGCTTCATGAAAACATACAGGAATCAAAACCTGACCTTGTCAGTGAGCTCACTAGAGTAGGGAATACATTCACAATACCACTACATGCTAGTCAGCTGTTTACATCAGCTAATGGAGAAAACATAACAGAGATAACAGATAGTTCCAGCATGCTAAAAGCATCTGTTAAACAAGTAGAATATGCTCAAGATAAAGCTTCAGAAGGAATCTCTACAACAACAACAACTACGGACATGTGCCACAATGCTGCTCAACAAAGTCTAAGTGAAGATGAGAAAACTCCAGCAAAGTCAAGGCAAGTTATGTTCTCCACTAAATCTGCTCCACTAACTCAGTCTTCATCAGAGGCCAAACCAGCTACTCAAATGTCAGACGGAGATCCCTCTGATGCTGAACTGCACCGTCAAGCCAACCTGATCATCAACTCGGTGCTCTACAACATCCTGTGTCAGGAGTTCAAGAACATGCTACCTACAGGCCATACCAGTCTACCAGTAGACGCTCTAGCCTTGAACTCTCTCGCATCTTTGGTGCCTGGAGTCACACAATCAAAGTCTGCTACAGGCCACACCAGTTTACCTGAAGGTGTCTTAGCATTGAACTCTCTTACATCTTTGGTTCCTGGAGACACAGAATCAAAGTCTGCTACAGGACCATCCCAGCCCAGCAGAACTCATCAATCCTCTACAGACAATGGCATTTATCCTCAAGTATTAGGTGGTCAAGACATATCAGGACAGAATATCCCTGGGAATTTAGTTCAAACTGTAGGCGATTCCTTAATGGACTTGAAGAAAGAATCCGAGTCATCATTACCTTACAGTCAAAATGACACGGAAGAGAATGACAAGAGCAATGCAAATACCGAGGGTAAAGATGAGAACAAGGCTGACAAGGTTCTCCAGCAGACTTTAGGTATTGGGGCATCAGATGAACACAGCCCACATATGGGTGAGCTCTCCTCACATGTAGTGTCTGAAACTGTTGCAGATGTTGTGACCTCTGACCCCATGAACCTCACATACCCTGTAGGTACTATACCACCACAGTCAGCACATTCCGTAGTAACTGAACATCAGAAGAATAACTTCAACGTTGAAAGGAATAACACAAAGACACAATTGACCACAGCACAGACAGGCATACAACCCTCAGGCTTACAAGCCCAGAGGGACATACAGACCTTGGGCTTACAAGCCAGCAAAGCCCAGACAGTTACACAACCTCCAGGCTCACAAGCCAGTAAAGCCCAGACAGACGCTCAGCCCTCAGGCTTACAAGCCCAGACAGACACTCAGCCCTCAGGCTTACAAGCCCAGACAGACACTCAGCCCTCAGGCTTACAAGCCCAGGCAGACACTCAGCCCTCAGGCTTACAAGCCCAGACAGACACTCAGCCCTCAGGCTTACAAGCCCAGACAGACACTCAGCCCTCAGGCTTACAAGCCCAGACAGACACTCAGCCCTCAGGCTTACAAGCCCAGACAGACACTCAGCCCTCAGGCTTACAAGCCCAGACAGACACTCAGCCCTCACGCTTACAAGCCCAGACAGACACTCAGCCCTCAGGCTTACAAGCCCAGACAGACACTCAGCCCTCAGGCTTACAAGCCCAGACAGACACTCAGCCCTCAGGCTTACAAGCCCAGACAGACACTCAGCCCTCACGCTTACAAGCCCAGACAGACACTCAGCCCTCAGGCTTACAAGCCCAGACAGACACTCAGCCCTCAGGCTTACAAGCCCAGACAGACACTCAGCCCTCAGGCTTACAAGCCCAGACAGACACTCAGCCCTCACGCTTACAAGCCCAGACAGACACTCAGCCCTCAGGCTTACAAGCCCATACCTCTAACCCAGCCCAAATAAGACAACGCCACACCAGACGGGCCAGCAACCCAGAGGATCTCAACGCCAAACTCACAGCTCTCTTCAAGAACAAACGCCAGAAACTTCCATGGAAAATTCCTCGGTTTGTCTACCCCTGTGGATCCCAAATCTCACCCAACATTTCACAGCAGCAATCTCAACACGCAGAAGGGTATCTAGACTCGAGGCCTGTTAGAAAAGCTGTTTCTTTATTTGATGTAAGCTCAGAGGTTTTACACCCAAGTGAGCTGGTTCTACCTACAGCCCAAGGTGAAAATGCTAGGCAGAGTCTTAGAAGACCTGAAAGAAGGGAATTGATCAACATACTTAAACTTGAAGTACAGGCAATATTTGACAACTTAAGTGAAGACAGCCAGCGTAAAGAACCTTCTTCACTGACAGGAGCTGGGAAACAGGAGAAAGATATTGATGGAATCCAAGACGAGAAAGCTGGGATGCTGGTCATAGCAGAAAGAGATGCAAGACTGGATTTAGCAGCAGCATTTGCTGGTGAAGGAACAAACCCCACTCAGGCAACAGCAATTACAACAGCAGGCAAGAAAGATGAAACTATTCCTACTTCAGATGATGCAACAGTGCTACAACATCAAAAAGTCACAGCTAACGGTCAAGACAGTAACATCAAAACAAGTGCAGACAGTAGCTACAATGTTGAGGACAGAAACATCAAAACAACTAGTGCAGAAAGTAGCCTCAATGGTGATGCAGACAGAAACATCAAAACAACTAGTGCAGAAAGTAGCCTCAATGTCGATGCAGACAGAAACATCAAAACAACAGTTGCAGAAAGTAGCCTCAATGTTGATGCAGACAGAAACATCAAAACAACAGTTGCAGAAAGTAGCCTCAATGTCGATGCAGACAGAAACATCAAAACAACAGTTGCAGACAGTAGCATCAATGTTGATGAGGATAGAAACATCAAAACAACTAGTGTAGACAAAAGCCTCACATCAAGTACCATCACAGCATTCTCTGAGCTCAGCACAGGCACCACTCAAGGCAACATTCCTCTAGTCTCATCACATGATCAAGGCAGCCACTACCAACCTAGTGTTGCCACTACATCTGAAGCTGTTGAAGAAACACTGCCTGATGATGAACATTTTAAGGAGATAACATCAGATGAAGAAGGGAGATCTTTTGAGGATGTTGAAGAAGTAGACTCTAGTGAAGAAGGGAAATTATCCACAACAATTATCCCATTTGCAAGCCACACTGTCATCCACAGGAATGTAAGAATTACTCCCTCACATGCTGATAAAACCAGATCAGCTTCACCAGCCAGCGCCTGGAGACTAAAAAGAGCAGCATTTTCCACATCAGACGACACAGATTCTTCAAGAAAATCTCTGAGAGAATCACTAGAAGAAGCAGCCGAGGAAGCGCTGAGTTCTGCCAGAGACAGCCCCGAGAGATCAGAGAATCTGAGAATGGTTTCTATACTCACTGGCCTTGGACCAGCAGCAGCACATGATGAAGATCTCCAGCCGTCTGATGGTTCTTTTAACTACTGGTATTTTGGTGATCCGTCACTTGAACCATGGGAAGGCAAAGACGTGCATTCACCCAAAGAACATCTGAGCAGTAAGGCTAGAAGTAGACCCACACAACCTATTCAAGAGAGTGACAAAGATCTACAAAACAAAAATATTGATGGGGAAATAAACAAAGCACCAGGTCATTCTGTTCACAAACCTTTCACCAAAAACTTGTTTGGCGTTTACTCCATCAACAACCCTCTAGCTGCTTCAAGCCTTGACGAACCTTTTGAACCTGAAAACCCAGTCCTCGACAGTTTGTTGTACCCAATAGCAGGTTTACAACCACCAGGTTCAAACTTCTTCGGATCAGTGCCCACCCAATCGCGCGGCTTTGATCTGCATAAACCAGGACATTATGATCATCCGAGGATAACCTTGACCTCGGACTCTCTAGAGGAGAGCCTGATCCTTGCTGACTCATCGGATGCCGAGAGGTTGTCAATGGAGATGGCGCTGTCAGTGCTGGATGGGGAGGACGATCTGGTAGAGAATGTGGTGTCTGACAGGACTGATCAGCTGTCATGTATAAGTGGTGATCTGGCTGACGTTGGAAGAAATATAGAACTGTCACACACTGAAGGTGACACAAGTGGTGATCTATCAGATGGAAGAACTAAAGAACTGTCACACGCTGAAGGTGACACAAGTGGTGATCTATCAGATGGAAGAACTAAAGAACTGTCACACACTGAAGGTGACACAAGTGGTGATCTATCAGATGTTGGAAGAACTAAAGAACTGTCACACACTGAAGGTGACACAAGTGGTGATCTATCAGATGTTGGAAGAACTAAAGAACTGTCACACACTGAAGGTGACACAAGTGGTGATCTATCAGATGGAAGAACTAAAGAACTGTCACATACTGGAGGTGACACAATTAGTGATTTATCAGATGGAAGAACTAAAGAACTGTCACACACTGAAGGTGACACACGAGGTGATGTTTCAAACGCAATTGAAATGAACAGAAGGAATGAATTGTTACACACAGAAGGTGAGAGAGCTAAAGAACAATCCCACACAGGAGGTGATACATCTGAAGAACAATCCCACACAGGAGGTGATACATCTGAAGAACAATCCCACACAGGAGGTGATACATCTGAAGAACAATCCTACACAGAAGGTGGTGCTACCAGTCAGCTGCCACATTTTGCTGATGAAAGAAATACAGCATTGTCACATTCAGATGTTAGAATTGATGGTATGTCGTATGGTGGAAGTAGAGGGACAGTAACTGAACTTGATCACTATAAAGGTGAAACTGCTAAGGAGTTCTCACACATTGAAGGTGACACAACTAAAGAAATCTCCCTCACTGGAGGTGACATAACTAAAGAAATCTCCCTCACTGGAGGTGACATAACTAAAGAAATCTCCCTCACTGGTGGTGACATAACTAAAGAAATCTCCCTCACTGGAGGTGACACAAATGAAGAGCTCTCCTTCGCTGGAGGTGACACAGTTAAAGAACTTTCTGGAGGTGACACATCTAAAGATTTATCACTTTCTGTAGATGACGTGTCTAAAGCACTTTCACCATCAAGAGGTGACACAACAAACGAACTAACTGACACTAAAGGGCACTCAAGTGTGGAAACAACAGCCACCGGTGGTGACAAAGAACTCTCACTCCCTGGAGGTGAGACAGTGAAAGAACAATCACACAGTGGTGGTGACACAACATCACACAGTGGTGGTGACACATCACACAGTGGTGGTGACACATCACACAGTGATGGTGACACAACATCACACAGGGGTGGTGAAACAACTAGTCAACTCTCACTCTCTGGAGGTGAGACAAGTAGTCAACTTTCATCTCCAAGTGGTGAAACAACAAAAGGCTTATCACTCACCGAAAAGAACAGCTCCAATGAACTAACTCACACAGACAGCAATGTTTCTCACACACCCAAAGGGTTCACGTCACCCCACCCCTCTGCCCTGGGGGTGTCCACAGATTTCCACTCCATCCAGCTGAGGCCTGCTGTGGGTGAGAGCTCTGTTGACCCGGCGTGGACAAGTCGACCCTCAGAGAACGCCCACCTGTTCTCTGCTGCAGGTGCTAATTCATGGCCACACTCTGCCCACACTGACCACAACACTGACCTCACCACATGGCCACATGCTACCTACACCGACCCCACCACATCTGGTCTGTCTAAAGGCTTGACCAGCACTGGACAATTAGATCATGACAGCTTGTCTAGACTCACAACTGATGCTGAGAATGCTCCAGGAAGCTCAAAAAATTATACCAGTGAAAGTGGAGTTAAAGAACTTGGAAGTGCTAGAGTTATTGAACCTGAAACAGTTCATAAAGATGAAGTAAACAGAGAAGGGGCAGACAATAATGAGACAGCAATAGACAAACATTCAGAATCCAAGAAAAGTAAAATTGATGACAAGAGTAATTCCTACATTGAAAGTGACAGAAAGTATGATAACCATGTGTCTGATGAATCCTTCATGGAAGATGAAACTAAGGTAACTACACCATCTGAAAACAGAAACAAGCAAATAACTGGAAGTAATCTAGAGGAAGCTAATACTAATTTTGACACTGAAAGTGAAAGCCAACATGGCAACTCTGAAGAAATCAAAATGCCTAATGTAGCTGGTGGTCATTCAGTTGCTGTGGAGGGAGAAATTGGTTCTACAGCTGAAAATGTTTCTGGCCAGAGTGCAACAGGCAAGGAAACAGCTGATACACATTCTTCTAATAATGCTGAAAGTAAAATAGTGTTTGGAACTGAAATTACCAACACAACAGATATCAATACAAATGAAGAAATAGAACAAAAATCAGAAGAAGCATTTAAATTCCAGGCACAAGGTGAAATATCTGGAAACAATTCCATCACACAAGAAAAAGATTATGCATCTAATCTGAAGACTGAGCCAGGAAATATCTCTGAGCCTGTATCTAGTGTCGCAACAGGCAGTGATGGACCTTTACAGCTGTCACAACTAAATGGTATCCCTACAAGAGATGGTACCAAGTTAGCTGGACCATGTCAGGAGACAGAAAACAGTCAGTCACTGAAAGTAACTGGTGAGATCAGTCTAACTGAAGACCAGGACGGGAGTGATTCACAAGAATGTGGAAGTGAGGGACAATACAGGAGTCTTGCACATGAAACTAGTGAAAAACAACACAAGAAACTTGCACATGAAGATGGTGAAAAACTACACAAGAATCTTGCCAGCAATGATAATGCAGAAGAAGATAAAAAATTTGCAAGTGAAGATGGGGTTGAGAAAATATACAGGAATCTTGCACTGGAAGATGGTGAAGAACAATACAACAGAAATATTGCCAATGAAGATGAATATGGAATGAATATTTCAAGTGACAACTCTGCTCTGAGAAGGAAACATCTAGAAATTCTCGAACTGGCTGAAGAAATCCTCAACAGAAGTAACCAGTGCTACGATGTAGATGACGACTCCGTGGACCCTGCCCTGATAGAAGAATGGGACGACAAACCACAGCTAAGCGAGTGGGAGTTTTACCACACGGGTAGGGGCGGGGAGCTGAGCTACAGGAAGGAGGAGACCCTGGCCAAGTTCCCTGACGTCATTGTTCCAGGGAACAAAGTCACTGCAGTGGTACCATCCGGGCCAGTAGTCAACATGCCGTCTGAGCAAGATATCAACAGGCCATCTGAATGTGAAGTTTCTTCTGAGAGTATTTCAAAGACCAACCAGATCACAGACAAGACTCCAAGTTCTGGAGAGCTGAGCTTCAGAAAGGAAGAAACACTTGGAGAACACAGGCAACTTTTGCAACCTATGAAGAACATGGAGGCGGGTCCTCTTCTGTCAAAGCCACAAGCTGAGGAGACACCGGGTGATGAGAGAACTGATATGGCAGGTTTTAGCACTGAGAAGAACAACCAGCTCAGTCCCAGATACGTGGAAGATGTTTCTCAAGAGTTTCCTGGCTCTAAGCAGATATTTGGTAGCCAACACGAGAAAGACCAAGACACTCACCAGATATTTGGTCAACAACATGACCAAGACACTCACCAGATATTTGGTCAACAACAAGACCAAGACACTCACCAGATATTTGGCCACCATGAAGACCAAGACACTAATAAGACATTTGTTCACCAAGAAGACAAAGACTACCCTGCCAATAACTCAAACAATAACCTATCTATAAATAACAACCACCTAAACAGCTCTGTAGAGAACCATTTCACCAAAGATTCCACCACTGAAGACATGGCTGAAATGGACCAATCAGAAACTTTCTCCCTAGAGCTGACTACAACAGAAGGGGAAGATTATGATTTCGACAGCGGAGATCTGACTACAAGAGACAGAGAGCGGTCGCCACTATCAAGGAGGAGGAACATCCCAGACATCGACATCTCCAACTACCAGATCTTAAATGAAATAGAAAAACTCAAGTCTGAACACTCCAAGATGATGGGGCTGCTGGAGAGGAACAGGAAGAAGAAGGAACGGATGCGGCAGAACCTGCCATCCAGGTCTGACGGATCACCTGGATACCTGCTGGAGTCTGATTCCTCAGGTGGGGATTCACCTGTCACAGTTATCCCAAGGAACGGTTCAGTAGGCGGCAGCACAGGGACAAGTCCCATTGACCTGTCCAGTCTGGCCCCGCCCCCTCACATTGTGGGTAGGAGAGATGACCAGCGTATGGGGGAGAGGAACACGGGGTTCCGGCCGGTGACTGTCAAGGATGGATCTGCCAACACAGAGCTGACCAAGGGGGCGTATCACCACGAGAGGTCACATCCACAGACGAGAAGCGTCAGCACCAACACTGTCAACGCCAGTGGATACGTGAATGGATACAGCAGAGCATCCACCGTGGATTCCTTTAGCCAAACTATCCCAGATTTCCTTCAAGACGTATCTACAAATACAAATTCTGTTACCAGATCCGTAGACTCTTTTATTTCTTCAGAATCTACAAGTTCTTCAACATCTACAATCACGTCAAAGAATATATCAAAATCAAGCATAGAAAAGAACAGCAACAATATAGTTATGAATTCTGTTGGAACACAGTTTGGCCAGAAAGAGACAAAGTCCTTCATGGAAGAAAGAGTTGACGGCCGGAGCTCTGATGAGTACTCCAGCCAGTTCATGACCGACAGGTTCTACCACGACGACAGCTCCAGCACCATGTCCAGAGACTCCACCCTCTCGCCCCTGACCCTCCAGGCCATCATGGACGACGACACGGACTCTGCCTTCTCCATGTCCACCCTCAACACGCGTCACATGGTCACCACGGGGGTGGGGGTCAGCGTGGACAACCTGGACGACTTCACCCAGACAGAGCTCCTGGACTTGAGTCTACTGACCGTCAAGGACAACGGGACGTCCTTCTCCTCAGAAGGGGACAGCCATGATATGTCCAGAATCCAAAAAGAGTTAGACCGGCTCCACAATGAGAGAATCGAAATCATCGAACTCCTCTCTCTGCACTACCTGCCTTCAAGTCTAACCATAGAACTTCTGGAAGCCAAACTCAACTACTGCATCGGTCAAACAGACGCACTTCTCTCCACTTTAGAAGAAGCCTGGGACAAAGAAGACACCTCCCCGAGGAAGTCTAAGACCTACATCAAAGTAACCAAAGAGTATTTAGAAGAGTACAAATCCCAGATGAGCAGAAGTATGAAAGACATTGAGTCATGCCTGGAGACGCACCAAAGAAAACAAAATGGCGTCCGCGGCAGGCGTAAGACGAGAGGAAGTGACATCACGGACATTAAGAGAAGGTCAGAAATCGAAGCGTTTAAACTGGAGAGGTTGAGAGAGCAGTGTCGTTACGAAAGAGAAAAACTGAGATCCAGAAACTACAGCCCCTTGAATTATTCCCTGTCTTCATCCTTTGAGAACCTCTCCTCCACCGGGTCGCAATCCACAGAAAGTTCAATGCCAAGGTTGATGACCCCGACACAGAGGCGGCAATACCTGGTGAAGCTGAGGCGGGATATAGTTCAAGGTTCACAGGGTGAGAGACTGGACCACAGACACAGGTCAGTGTCACCACAGTACACACTCAGATGTCCAGACCAGCCCTGGACATTGAGAGCATCATCCTGCTCCCCCACCAGGTCTGAAACCTCCAGCATCAGCTCGGTGCCTTCCTTAAGTCCGTTTACCTACCGGTCAAGAAACGGGTCTTACGTCAGACACCAGGATCGCTACTACAGTCCTTCGTATGAGAGGATGACCTCGGCTCTCAGAAACCTGTCCTCAGACTACAGAGCCAACGTCATGAGCTCGTACTCCAGCAGGGGTTTGAACCCGGACCAGCTGATCAAAGAGTCCAATGAGATCCGCAGACAAAACCAGATCCAGATTGAGCAGGCTCAGGAGATGTTGAGACAGCTGGACCAGAAGAGGTTTCAAGTCAGGCAGCTGGAGAGGTAGGTTGGGGGGCAGGGGGGAGATATGGGTGGGGGGGGACATTGGGGGATGGTGGGGACAGCTGTTTGAGTAGTGAATATATAAATGGTACACTTTGAATTTTGTAGTTATTTTTTTGTTTTATTTAAATTTGAGTAGTTATATAAACCGTTTCAGTATTAGCATACATGATATGCTGATGAAATGTGTAATTTTGTGATTTTAGGCATTTGCTTTAAAATAAATTTATTTATGAAATGTATTCAAATTTATAAAAAAATTTAGTTTGTTATAGACATTTATTTTTTATTGATGAACACTTTGGTCTAAGCTTGAAAATAATTTCAATATAGAATATATCATTTGAATGTATAGTATATGCTCTATGTATTATTATTTTTACAATGGTATTTTCACTAATTGCTTCACAGGAGACAAATGGAAGGCAGCCCTAATAGACCTCAGGTAGGTGATCTTAAATTATCTGTATCTATCAAACTTAAAAACTAACTAAAAACATTTTTAACTTATCAACCCATTTTAGGTTGTGAGATGAATAAAACTGTTGAGCAAAGTTGTGTAACTCTCAAACGCATGTGTACTTTGATGGAGCAGGATGGGAAAACATTTTGCTCTTAATTAAATGTCTGATTCCATTATTTTTTAAAAATCATTTAACAATTATCTACATTTCCAGCCGAACCACTTGGACACAAGTCTAGCAAGTCTAGGTACACCAGACCATGGACTAAACAACAGGTGAGGCCTACGGCTTGTTTTGTCTACTCTATTTTTTTATAGGCATAGCCATTACGTTGTTAGTATGTGTATTATGTATCTATCCTCATATTTGTATTATGTATCTATCCTCATAATGGTCAAATAGGATACAAATCAGAATTTTCTTATGTAGATGTTTGATTAGATTTCTCTTTGTAGTATTTTTAATCTAATGCTCAATGGGGGTAATTGTAATAGTTATTTGTAAATTACACACAGCTAAAGAAAACTAAAAAGAATAATTTTAATTCAAGTGTAAAGATTTTTAAAAAATCAAACCTAGTTTAGATGTTAATAGGTAAATTATTTGTGTTTTTTTAGACGACATTCATCAAGATCAACACCATCAACATTCACCGAATACGCCAGAGATCATCTGGTGCGTGGACAGCGCCAGATCAACTCCTTCGTGAACCACCACCACCACACTGTTCCACCACCAGCCAGCACTTCTAGTCACAGACAGGCTCGGAGACTCTCTAGACAGGAGCACCAGAGGTCAGCCACATCCACACCAGGAGACAAACCCACCTCAACCACGGTTGCGTCGCAGACAGATAACCTGTCACAGACTGGAGCTAACCTCGCAGACCAGCTGGAACCTGGCGCTGGTCAGCTGTCCAACAGAGGTGGAACAACATCAGGGTCAGACCTGCCACAGGGAGATGGACAAAGTAGCCAGGACTTGACCAGAGGCACCACAGCAGAATAAAGAGTGGTCAGTCAAATGTGACAACAGTGGTCAGTCAAATGTGACAAGAGTGGCTGTACAAATTGGCAACTTTTAAACACAAATATCTGGCCATGATATATAACTTAATACATTATAATCATATTACCTTACTTCAGAAACATGCTCTACAAAATTACTTTACCTAAGAAAGTTATTTAATGTTACTTTACTTGAAAAACATGTTCTACAAATATTACTTTACTTAAAAAATTCAACAAACCATAAGATATAAAACAATATAAACATTACTATCAGCAAATCATAAAGTATAAACAAGACAAATATGACTTGAAAAACAGAAATTGTCATAACACAAGCCCTTTGTTTTCAAACCAAAAAAAGATTTACCAAGACATAAAGAATGATAAATAAAAGCTGATTTAAAAAAACAAAACATCTGAACATCAACTGAAGCATAAAACAAGCCTCTTTTAAAGAAAGCTTGATCTTAGTAAAAGAAATATTTTTAAACTTGACGCAAATATTCAATGAGATATTTTTTTACCCAAATCAGATCATTCCGAAAGAAATCCCAGATGTTAATACACATACCTCACTCATCTCATTGTACGTAACCATAAATCATCATTCTCCATATTGTCATGGAATTACGTGTTTCTTTGTGTAAGTCTTGTCTGAAACAGTTTTTATGTCCCTTTGTTTAGTCTTGTCTGAAACAGTTTTCATGTCCCTTTGTTTCCTCCATCATCTGTGATACACATTCCATGCAACTGGTGCCAAATAAATTTGTGCTTTATCAATATCTAGTTAACCCTTGCTTGTATAGGAACATGGGGAATTTTTTAACCCTCTGATGCCATGTTATTTATAAAAAAGATGAACGTAAACTTCAACACATTGTTGGGTGTTGGAGGGTTAATGAATGCTGATGTGCTGTATTAGACCTGCATCTTGTGATGCTCTTGTATGTAGTTTTATTTAGTTTCATTTTTATATTGTTTACTTGACACATCATTAAATAAGGTGTACCTTAATGACCAAAGTTCGCTAATATGTATTGATAATAAAGTATTTATAAATTGGACGGCTGTCTCTTCATGTAAAATTAATGACCAATAATTCATACCTTTTCTTAATTCTCTATTAATGCTATGGTTAACATTATTCTGAAATAATTTTGATATATAGTTTTAATGTTGAACATTGAAATTCAATTCATTTGAAACTTTGGAATATTTCTCATTGTTGCCTGAAGATAATGTATAACATAAAATTACAATGATATTACTTACAGTCCTCACAATGAAAAATTAACAATCACACTATATAATATATTGTACACAGTATTTTTTATGTAAAAGAAATGTTATTTGTTTCACATCCTATTTCTTTGTGATCTGATGTACATTTTTAATCCGTCCAAAAAGTCACAAATATTGAATACAATTTTTTTTTATATTAAATTATATTTTTACGTTGTCATTTTCTAACTTTGTACAAATATTTTTCTCACAAGAAGATAATTTCTGGTAGCCAACAATCACAGGGGGCTGTCTGTGTATTTAGACTTGAGGAGGCAGATTTCCTCAGAATTGTTGCCAAAAATGTATTTGCCAGCTTGCCTATGTGTAAAAAATTTTGTTTGTAAACAAGTTAAATCAGTATATTTATTTTATTTTTACTTTCTTCTAGATTAGAAAATTTAATTTATTTCATGACTTCTTTGTGAAAAGTTTAAAATGTGGAACATTTCACAATCTAGACCTAAATAGACAAGGCTGATAAAGCTGTTTGTTAGTAGGCCAAATATTATTTGTTAACTTCAAAACTTCTAAGTGTCAGACAAGAGTTTCAGCTATGTCTTGCCCAACTTTTAATTTAATAATTGGTTCATCCTTTTTTTTTTTTAGTATTACTTCTATCAACTTATTACTGGTTTTTTTTATCACTCTTTTGAAATTTACTCCATAAATTTTAACAAAACAAATTTAAAATATTTTGTTTTTACTTTAAAATATTCAGTATTTTACTCAAATTCTGAAAATTATTTTTTTAAGTTATTAGCTATATCATTAATCGCGAAAGGGGATGGTGGTAGAAGTTTAATTGTAAAACACAAATACCTATTCAATTAACTCGATTTTCACAAGTTTATGCTAATTTATTATATGTAGAGCTTTTATACATCTAATATATTATTTTTATCATTGTGTATATGGTCTGGCCATGGCAGTTGGTTATGTCCCCTGAAGCTATTGACATGTACATAATTAAATTAATTTATTAGCTGAAAGCATGTATTTAAATTATGAATAAATATTTTTTTAGAATGGAGATGAGTTTGATATCTTACTTGGGAAAGGGAAAGAATAAATGTTGAAAAGTTGGGATCTAAAAAAAATTTTTGGTAAATAAGGGTAACTGATAAGATTACCTTTTAATTTTTTTTCCTTTTATAAACAACTAGCAACTTTTTCTTATATGATTGAGGTTCATAAAAATAGCAGGGATAAACTATGGAAATATATTTTGATCGAGTTTGTTTTGTGTGTAAAACATTTCCTTTCTTATCCACGACACTATCGTCTTATTTGATAGGCGTACTTTCGTGGCGACATGCTCAAAACCTTAGTTAGCAGGTCCCGTCCAACTTTAGAACATTGACTATTGGAAGAACTACTGCACAGACAACTAGATACATTAATCAGTCATAACGCATCGCAGGACAAAATTGAAAAAGTAGAATCGGAATTTAACAAAATACAAACACATAGACACAAGGGAGCGCTAATACTAAGTAAAATAGACATGATAGGCAACAAAGAGCAGTGTTTCTTCCAGACTTTTTTCTCCGGGGGTGGGGGCACTTGATACTTTCGGGGGGGGGGGGGGGGGCGGACACTAGTAAAAGTGTATGTTTACTATATAAATTCCATCTTGTTCGGGGGGCGAGGGAGGTAGACTTTCTTCGGGGGGGGGGGGGGGCGAACAGATGCCTGGAAGAATGAAGAGCCCTCCCATTACAACACACTACATTTCAAGACATACATGAAAGAGAGGATTGTGCTACAGATTTTAATAGGGCATATACAACACTCATTCCTAAAAATGATACGGACAGGACAAAAATTATAAATTACATACCTATATCTTTACTCAACAGTGATTATAAAATATTGACAAAAACTTTAGTTAAGAAACTCGAACCTTTCATACCTAAATTAATACACCCCGATCAACAGTTTAGCATACCAGGTAGAAACCACACGCACTTAATCAGAAACATACATTATAGCACGCAGAAAGACACAACTAGCAATTCTTAGCATCGACCAACAGAAAGCTTTCCATAGAGTACATCATACATAGTTAATGAAAACAATAGATGCTTACAACCTAGGACACTATTTTAAACCATGGATAAAAATAATATACAGCAATGCACAAAAACTGTGGGAGGACTGCTATAGATATAGATGTTTGAAAGGGAAGAATGTTTGATTTGATGTGTCTCATTGCAATCAACACAACTTTTCCGGTTGCTTAAAATTTGTATCATTTTAATTCTCTGTAATCCCAAATTTATTTCAGCTCTACTTAAATGCCCAAACCCCCCTCAGCCCACACCGCCGATGGAAAAAAAATCAAATTGAATCATCATTTAATTACACATTTGCATTTTCAGGTGGTTTTTTTCTTTTTTTTTAAAAATAAAATTGTAATTAGACGTTTTGTATTAGATCTAAACCATCTTAAATGAATGACAGTAGGCTACAAGTAAGAAAGAAATATTACTATTGTAAATCTATAACAGTCCTCACAAGCCGATGATGAAAACTGTAATACTAAAGCGAACATGCAAGGCAAACGGACGCTGTAAACTACATGTCTGAGGCGAAAAAAAAAGAAAGAAAAAAAAACAACATTGACTATCACCCCCTCCCCCCCCCCCCCCGGGTAGCAACATGGACGATCACCCACCCCACCAAGACAAAAAAAAACATGGACTATCACCCCCTCCCCATGGTAGCAACAAGGACTATCACCCACCCCACCCCGGGCAATGAACATGGACTATCACCCATCACGGGTAACGTGCATGGACTATCACCCACCTCACCCCCCCCCCCCCGGGTAGCAACATGAAGATCACCCACCCCGGGCAAAAAACATGGTCTATCACCCATGACCCAACCCAAGTACACTTTATGTTACCATAGTTACGAAATGAGATGCACCTCTAATGTACGGGTCTGAAGACAATTTGAGTATTTTCTTCACGCACATTTAACATTAAATATATATATGCGTCACTTAGTTTACGCCAAATGACCAACTGGACATCGAAATTTCCACACATTTAAAAGTATAATGTATACTAGGTCGCATTCATTACTCTGCGCTGCTCCCCCCCCCCCCCCCCTCCTCTATCGGTGAACGGACAAAAAGTCATTTTTTGCTAGGAAAAAAAGTCACAGGAAAAAAGTAGCAAAGGAGAACTTTTTTTTTGGAAAAAAATCACAGAAATAAAGTCACAGAAAAAAGTCACAAAAATCTTTTAATAAATATTTTGATTTTAATTGTTGAGAATTGTAAAATTGTGGGTGTTAATGGATGTGGGGATTATTATTGGTTAATAGCATTATGATAAAACACTAATAATTATAATTACTAAAAGCATTTACACAGCAACCTCAACTTTTGTAATGAATTTAGTTAAATACACTCTAGAAATGTTAATTATAAATGAAAATTTAGGCACATCGTCTTTTTTGCATGTTTTTTTTTCGCCGCTCCTTCGGCTTATCCTCAGTCGGCCTTGTCCGTCCATATTGTGTGTTGTTGACGTTTTGCGTCAATGACAGTCTTTGTACCGTGTCGGCTTTTTGTATTGATCCTTTGCTATGATATTTAATGAGCGTGATAAATGTGGGCAGTACAGGTGGTTGACCTATTGTTGCGATGCTTTGAGGGCAGCAAATCCCATTAACTCCGTCTTAATGCCTTTTCGCGCTAACTTAAAGTTAGTATTTAACAAACACAATGAAAACCGAGAAGGTTGGAACATTACATTAAATTCTGTTAACATTATACGTATAAGGGAATTAGAACGTGTTATTACTACCACTATTCACTATACGTGTACGACCTATGCACATTTAATAAATTAACTGTGAGTTGATTTGCACTTTCTGAATATTTAATACAAACAAGTATTTAAAAATTCCATGCAAATATACATTTGTGACTTTTTTCCTGTGACTTTTTTCCTGTGACTTTTTTTCCTGTGACTTTTTTCCTCTAACATTTTTTTTTTTGGATTTTTTTTTCCTGTGTCTTTTTTCCTACAATCCCTCTATCGCCTACCTTTGGGGGAAAAAAAATACAACAACAAAAATATTTGCGCTTGAGTTTGCTACTATGATTCTAACGAAGTGTAAACGTTTATGTCATAAAAGAGTGCTTTCCCTTGATGGCGGTGTGACACATGACTATGATAATGTACCCTATACGAGCATTCTTCTAATCTAATATCTGATACACAACTAGATCAAAAGCTGAGGAAATCGTTTAGCCAAAATGACATTCTTGAGTCGAATCCAGCTTCAAGTGTTTCAATGAGTAACCAAATATTAAAGTGCTATTTTACATAATATTATTTTTTTAATCAGAATTTTTTACAACTTAGTATAGAATCTGTTACATAAATATGTTTAACGTATAATATCCGTACACGAATACATTGATATACACCCTTCCGCCTGCGTGGTTTTCTTCATGCGATGTCCACACAATTTCTAACATAATGTGTAATTGATTCATTTCAATCGTCATTCTTAGGCTGTCTTTGACCATTCATCAGAATGTAAACAAAGCAAAACACATGGCGATACTAACACTACTAAATCTAGATCTAGCGCCAACTACATAGTTAATAAAGGTTCATGTTATACACAAGCAAGTATTTGGTTACAACAATGAGATAATTTAAAAGATACCACAAAATTATGGCACAACAGAGACGCTCGTAAAGTAATGTGTTCATAGTGCTCATCTCTGTTCTAATCAATATCGCGAGGTTTCCTCTATAACAAAAAATAATATTTATTCAGTGCGGTTTTTCTATAATAAAATATATTAGCCTATTCATTTCGGCTTAACTATAACAAAATATATATTCAGTTCGCTTCCCCTGTAATAAAATATATATTCAGTTCGCTTCCTATGTAATAAAATATATATTCAGTTTGCTTCCTCTGTAACAAAAATATATTCAGTTCAGCTCCTCTATAGCAACATATATTCTGCGTGACCTCTCTATAATATACATAATTATATATATTCAACTCGGCTCATTTTTAAAAAAAATTATATTATATTTTCTGTGTGACTCCTGTATAACAAAAATTACATTCAGAGCGGTTCCTATCTTCACAATTCAATTTCTTTGTGTAAAAAAATGTCAATTCCCTGTAAGGTTTAATCTTTAAAATTGTTCACTTAGCGTTGACCTAAATAAAATAAAACATTTCCCATCCCCCTCCACCACCCCTCACAAAGAAGATATTTTTTAAAAAAAATTGTGTTCGATTGAACCAATAAGTGACTTGTTCGATCCCTGCCAAATTATTTCCTCACAATGTCACGTATGGGTTTGTCTCTTGGACAATGTCAGCAGACATCTAATCAATCTGAAAATTGATGGGACTAAATAAAAATTCTCAAGGTTGTCGTATTCCCCACTCCCCCACCCCACAAACCGCACGCAACCAGTCAGACACACGCAAACGACATATGACAAGATAAACGGTGATAATTTACCCGTGGAAAAAAAAAACATAACAACCGAGGATCGACCTTCGAACCTAGTAAAGTTAATTAAGCACATCACTTGGGTACAGTGAATTTGTTGATCGTTAAAGCGATTGAAAAATAATTTGGCGCGTAGCGGAAATAGATACATTTATTTGCGTCGCAATTTTAGTGGGAAACTAGAAAATTGTTTTTTTAAGATGTAATAATAATATTTTTCTCAATAATTTAAGCTACATCCTGATGTCTAGAGGCCGTATAACTCGTGTGACTGAGTACACTCATCACGTGACTATCCTGTAGCCAATCATTAGCCATTTAGTTTTCTTCACGTCATAACGCACACACCAGAGATTGGTACTCTACTGTATATAGTATGGCATACACCATTGTATATTGTGTCATAAATGTCACTGTCGGCCGTGAGATATATGTCATATTATGCAGTCTCTTTGATGTATCTTAAATGCCAATGTTAATGATAGTGACTAGCTGTAGAATACTTCAAACACCATAGAAAAAAGGTTTCATTTCATTTTTTTGTCAAACGCCGAGACTTATTTACAAACGATGCCAAGATGAATGAAAGCAGCACCAATGTTGCTGTTTCACCTGAAGACAACCTCATCATATCTGACCAGCTGATGCAACAGTTGGACGTTTTCCTCAACTGTTTTCTCATCCACCTTCTCAGTTTTCTGGGGATCGTCGGCAACGCCCTCAACATTCTGGTGCTGAGCAGCCGCGGCTTCAAGGAAACCAGCGATATTTTCTTGGTCAGTCTGTCGGTCAGCGACCTCATGTTCTCCGTCATCCAGCCGATTCACGGCCTGAGGTGTATCGTGTCAAAGTTCGACGTGTCGCTCTCCAAAACCGTGGACACATTTGTGACAGTCTACGTGCCCATCACGGACATCTGGGTCGGGCTCAGCATTGGCACCATCACCGCCATCGCAGTGGAGCGGTTTTTCGCGGTTTTGTTCCCGTTTCACGTGTCTCGAATTTTTACGCCTTTCCGCGTGAAATGCGTCGTCGTTTTCTTGTACGTTTACACGCTCGGGATGACGTCACCTTTGTCGTTCCGGTTCGACTATGAATGGGTGTTCGACCCTTTAGAAAACCGGACCACCGTTAGGTATATCAACAGCAATTTTTATAATGATAATTACAATGCCGTTAATATCTACGGAGGTTTTTTTCTGAACAATTCTTTCACCACGGCAACATTGCTTACAATACTTATCTGCTCGGTTGTCATAACCATCAAACTGACCGTTGGTCATTCCAAACAACTGGCCATGTCGTCGTCAGGTCAAGGAAGAAAGAAGGTGAAGGACAGGAGAGCGGGTAAAATGCTACTCACCGTGTGTTTGGTGGCGCTGATCGTGTTCCTGCCTACGGCCATCGTCGACATGTACAAGGCGTACGCTGAAATCAACCTGTTCTCACAAGACAACCTGAAACTGAACGACCTGCTTCAGAGCATCAACTATGTCCTGTACCAGTTCAACGCCTCCATCAACATCGTCATCTACGTCACCATGAGCAGGAAATTCGCCGCGGCGTACCGAAACTTCTGCTGTCCAAAAACTAGGACCGGGAAAAAGCATTAAAGAAATAAAAATTACTAGTCATGTTTTGCTAACGTTTTCGTTTCAGATTCATGGTCACTAAGTATTTTAAATTACACGAAAACTACCAAATTTCTTTATTTAGAAATATGCAAATTACTTAGAGCAAGTAAAATCAAAGTTATGAAATTTTTAGCGCAATTTCCATTCTGGAGAATTGCGTTTATTAACCCGTCATTTCTGGATGTATGAATGTATGAATGAATGGATGGATGTGTGTCCGCAGCTTTAAGTCGTATCTCCTCCTCAACGAAGCAATATCGATGACTAGTTTCAAAGCAATTATGTTAAGCAAGTTACGAGGATGAACATAGGCCATAAAAATTCCGGGTTTCTTTCATGGATTTCCCGGAAAAGCCAAAAAACCTCGAAAAAAATCAGTTTTTGGCCCATATCTCGGCAATCAGACCACTTAGCGACTTGAAACATGTACCAATCGATTCCTGCCATAATTTAAAACAATATTGCCGAAGAAAGTTTTCAAAAATATCCTCTCGTTCGGTCACAAAATTTTTTTTGAATTAATTAAAATTTGGACTGAATTAGTAGGCATTTTATGCAACCACACCACACGCGTCATCACGTTCAATAGCTGCGCCATCACGTTCAATGGCTGCGACGTCACGTTCGGTAGCTGGGCGCGCAATGGTTTTTAGTCATGATACTCTATTGTAAATAAAACATGTAAAATACTGAAAAAAAAATTAATAAAAAACGTTTTAATAACTAACCAATGTTTTTACTAACCCTGCTCTTGATTTACGCTACGACAGAGCTATTTTTTAGATAACACAAGGAAATTGCGCTAAAATTGTCACTAGACTTTTTTTAATTACTTGTTTTTTTAACATTGGATATTAATGAATGTTTGAATATGTCCATTACTTTGAGGTTGTATGCTCTTCCTAGGGAAGCATATTGAGCCTGTGAAGTAAATAGGGGTGTTTCATAATAGACTTTCATGTCTTTCCAATATATTTGATATTTATGACAAAGTTATGGATTATGATACTTAAATGCAATACACAAATATGACATTGCGTTGTATTTTATTTTTTTGACAAAGCTATGGGTTATGATATTTCTATGCATTGCAAAAATGTGACAACGATATAGCAATTGTCATAGCGTAGATATATAGAATTGGACTGGACTGGTGCGAACTTGACGGTAGACGATTTGGTGCGAGAGTATTTTTGCGCGTGTTCAATAAAATGTTTGTGGCGCGAGTGCGACGTGAGCATGACGCAACAATATACCGATGACGTAGACCACAGCAGTGAAGTAAGTTGGGGATTAGATAAACTAGAAGACGGATGTATTCTTTGATGTTGTGCAAATGATCTATATATGTGGTAATAAAGTTAGTGTTATTTTCATAAACGAAGTTGTTGACATTATTAATAAGTGTCTGCGGAACATAAAAGTGATTCCCGTCCTCCTCACAAGTATGCCGTATGAATAGTAGTAGACTAGATCAGAATATATAGAGAAGTTAAAGTTATAAAGTTATATATATAAACCCCCCTCCCGATCACATATTGGTGGCGCAGCGGGGTATAATAAAAAATCCCTATGACTTTTATATACAATACAAAACTACGATGTTATACCATACACAACTATGGCATTGATATACAATAAAGTTCCAGATCAGAAGTGTAAACTGCTCTGTCTATACTAGGACTTTATTCCATACCTATGTCTACATTCAGCATTGTAATAATACTCTGTTTAATTTGTTATTCCAGATATACAGCAAAGCTAATTGTTTTTTTTTCTAAAATAAAAAGGGTTGTTTTATTCCCTAAAATAAAAAGGGTTGTTTTTTCCCTAAAATAAAAAGGGTTGTTTTTTCCCTAAAATAAAAAGGGTTGTTTTTTCCCTAAAATAAAAAGGGTTGTTTTTTTCCCTAAAATTGTTTTTCCGTAAAAAAAAACGTTTTAATAACAAGCTTGTATGTATTAATGCACTAAAAAGTAGAACATAAATTATACACTACTATTTAAATTACTACAAAGAAAAGCGTGGGCCACTTTAGTATCTACTAGACTACCCGTTATCTAGTTAGATAACTGTGGGTTTCGGGGGTCATCCATAAATGACATCACGTCTGCCAGCACTTATCATCCCAAAATAACCAGACCCCCACATTCAAAAAGACGTTTTTTATATTTTAAAAACTCTACTAAACTCTACTTCACCTGCCCAGTGCCCCGCCAAACCTCAGACATGTTTGTATTTTAAAAAAAAACGATTCCGGCCGAGCATGGCTCTGACCACACTATCCCTTCATATGCTGAGAACATAGAAACAGGTGAACTCTACTTCACCTACCCTGTGCCCCGCGAGGTCCTGATAGTCAACCTTATCATTCACATATAGGCCTTAAGAAAAAATAGTTGAAATCATTGTTGTAAAAAAAAAGTCATTGTTCTAAACTTTTATAATTAATGTGGTTAATCTACCAATGAATATATCAATAAATTAATTAACGGCTTACAATTAGTTTATAATTTACAGTGTATTTAAGAAAGAACAATATTTACCACCCAAAATCCTATTTTACAGCTCTACATATAATGCAGATTCTCCCCAATAACAATTTAAAAAAAAATTAGTTATCAAACGTCTCTATTCAGTCAATGTTTAGCCATTGTTCTAAAACTTTGAAATTAATGTAGTTAATCTACCTATGAATAAATCAATAAATTAATTAACGTCTTTAAATAAATGTGGGATTAACAGTCTGTCTGCAATCAAAAATTATTCTCTACCTACATACTATTTTACAGCCCCCCATATAGAGCAGTTTCCTTACAGTACCAAATCAGACAAACAAAAAAATAAATATTCAAACATGTAAACAAACTTGAGTTTTAGTAGTATACTAGACTACCCGTCATCCGTTGGATAACTGTGGGTTTCGGGGGTCATCCATCAAAAAACATCACGTCTGTCACTCAGAGGCATAGCAACCCTTCCCGGCGCCCGGGGACAAACTTTTCGATTTGAAACCTCCCCCCCCCCCCCCGCAGGATTTCGATTTGCAACCCCCCCCCCCAAACTTTTGATGTGCACCCCCCCCCCCCTCAAGATTTCGATTTGAACCCCCCCCCCCCCCCACTCAAACTTTCGATGTGCACCCCCCTCAACCTTTCAATTTATTTTTCCAACCCATTTTGGCGCCCCCTGAGGTCGGCGCCCGGGGACATATATCCCCCCACCCCCCCCCCCCCCCTCCTCGCTACGCTACCGCAGTGTCACTTATCGTCACAAAAAACAGACCCCACATTCAAAAATATGTTTTTTATCTTTTAAAAACACCGAAAACACCGATTTCGGACTATCCCTTCATATACTGACGTCACAGGTGACCTACTCAACTCTACTTCACCTGCCCAGTGTCCCGCCAAGTCTCAGACAACATGTTTTTATCGTTTAAAAAACGATTCCAGCCGAGCATGTCTCTGACCACACTATCCTTTCATATGCTTAGGACAAAGAAACAAATGAACTCTACTTCACCTGCCCTGTATCCTGCCAAGTTCAGATAGGCAATTTTATCATTCATATCTAAAAAAAAATTGAAAAAAAAATATCATTGTTGTATTGGTCTAGAACCTATGCCACCCGCATGAGAGCCGATTACGCTACCAACTTAGCTATTTACTCTTGACGTCACAAGTGAATTTTTATACTATACTTTGATACTCTGAGTCTCCTTATGCAACCTGATTTACGCGTATAGATCTAGATCTAAGTCTAGTAGTTGTAACTTTCAAATCAAATTTTATCTTAAATTAGCCAAACAAAGAATTATTTAAAATAAAGAAGGTCTGAAATTATCTAGATCTAGATAGGATTATCTAGATCTAGATTCTACGACTCGTTTGCTTAAGTCTTAAGTTTAGGTTTTCTTGCTAGATCTAGAATCTAGATCTAGATCTAGATCTAGATCTAATCATTAGCTACTCTAATAGGCCCGGAGCGAGCATTTCAAAATTACCATATTCCAAACAAAGATTTATATAAAATAATAAAGGTCTAAAATAGTTTAGTATATAGAAAATCATTATTATCTAAATCTAGATAGAAAGTTATCTATATTTTAGATCTACGACTGAGCTATATTTAGAATTTACGTTTATAATTTAGCAAAATTACCGGCATCGAAGCCGCGTATGAATCTTAAGCTACGCCAATAGGCCCGGGAGCGAGCATTTCAAAATTACCATATTCCAAACAAAGATTTATACAAAATAATAAAGATCTAAAATAGTTTAGTATATAGAAACTCTTATCTAAATCTAGATAGAATTATCTATATTCTAGATCTACGACTGGTTTGCTTAAGTCTCGTTTTTTTGGAGTGTATTTATAACTAATAAATCTTTGATTTGACTTAGATTCTAGATTCTAGATCTAGATCTATAAATAACTTTCTTGGACAGATTGTAGATCTAGAGAAATTTATCGTAAAACTAAATGAAAAAGACAGTTGAAAATTTATATAAGTGTTGGAACGTAATAAATACAGCAAACGGACGTATTGTTAAAGTTATGACCGACAGAAAAATAGATTTAGAACGCGTTAAACTTTTGAATGGGAACACAATTTTCTTCGATAGACGCCGCCATTTTATTGTACTAAAGAGTAAACAAAAAACTGTGACGTCACGGTCCCGCCGAGTGTAGTGGTCGTTCTAATCTTTTTTTTAAAAAAAGGTTACTCTACCTATGAATAAATCAATAAATTAATTAACGTCTTTAAATAAATGTGTGATTAACAATCTGTCTTAAAACAAAAAAAATTCTCTACCTACATACTATTTTACAGCTCTCCACGATGAGTGCAACCATGTGCAATAGTCAATCAGCCAAACAAAAAAACAAACAAAGAACAAATAAATATTCAAACACGTAAACAAACTTGAGTTTTAGTAGTATTAGATAGATAGATAGATTGGATACCTTTACTA